TAATAATCCCAATTCCTAGATAATGTCCAGACTTTTATGGGTGCCCCCACACCAAATATTTCTTTTTTGAATGAACAAACGACTAGGCTGGATTATTCTGCACTGGTTTTTTGTTTGTTTGTTTTTGCCTTTCCTCCAGCCTGCGGGAGGTGGGTGGGAGGTGGGCATTCTGTGACAAGCCTTGGTGGGTGAGCTGGACCCCTAAGGAACACTGCGGCTTCAGCTCTTCATCCACTGAGATGCCTCTTTCCTGATCCTGTAGTACACACTAAGTGATTCAAGATTGCCCCACTGACAGCCACTACAAACAAGATACCTAGTAAGCAGAGTTCCAGATCACTCCGACTTCATTTGGTCTTTAAACTGAGAACATGTAAAGCCATTATGTTGAGGAGTTGCTTAGATTAGTTTTCTTCCCTCCTAGGTAAAGATATTATTTATTGAAGCTACTACTAGGTTTGTTTGTTTTCATTTATATTTGGTGTAGGTGTATGCCCTGATCTTTGTGGACTGAATTTTATTTTTTGAATCCATAAACCATTAACAAGATTTTAAAGGCCAGAACTATTTAAAAACATGTACTCAGAGAAAATCACTCCTCCCCCCCCCCACTTTATTAGTTGTTAGATCTTCATATTTTTGTGGGGAAAAGGGAGGTATATAATGTATAATATGTATATATTTATATTTAAATTATTTTCTCTTCTTCCTTACATTAAGGGTAACTTCCCGTTATCTTTAATATACCTAACAAAATGGTCTTTTGTTCTTTCCTTCCTCACTTAACAACATATCCTAGAAATCACTCCTATTATCCCATTAAGATCTTTTTTACCCTTAGTATTCAACATACCTCAGCTTTATTTTTCATCTCATTCCTGTCGTTATGTACAGATTTTTTTTTTTAAGAATTAGTTTATTCTTCTTTCCTTCTTCCTTTCTTTCTTTCAGTTTGACCAGAAAGAGAGGCACAGAGAGAGAGAGAGAAAGTGAGAAAGCAAGCCACCAGGTCTGGGACTGCAGCTGTGATCAGTGTGTGAGAGTCCAGCACCCTTAACGACCATGTCATTTGCTGGCCCCGCTACGTTCAGATTTTAATATCAAGTTAAATATTGTATTTTACATAGTTTTTTTCAAGAGTCCTATGCAGCAGTTGTTTACTTACCCTGGTTTTAGCAGACATTTTACTTTGAATGTTTTGTGAACATAATTTTAGTGTTGTCAAAATTACAAAATTAGTCTTTTGGTGAAATTATTAGAAATGAGTAAATAACTATAAATGAGAGACGAAGCGGACCGCAAAGCTGAAGGATGTTTTTGCAGAGAGGCTTGAGGAATGAGTGCCAGCTCTATTACCATGTGTTGGGGACAGGAAAATGGAAGGGTGACAGCTGAGCTTTGTGGGAGTACCTACTATAGTTCCATAAATTCCTCTGAGTTTACTATTACCAAGGAGCCTTAACAGTTACATTATGTAAAACGCAAAAAATTTTTTGAGAACCACAACATTCTCAACCAAATGTTGGGACTGTGGTGAGTGGCTTAAAATTTAAAAAAAAAAAAAAGGGCATCCTGAGGGTTACGTTTCTTTTCATCTGTGGAGGCTTCAGTGGGAAATTTTCAGAAACACTAAATTATTCTTATTAAGCCTATTACTAGAAAATCTTTTCTTCCCCAAACCCACTCATTATCCCACTTGGAAATTTCTGTGTCTCACTAGAAAACATTTTTGGAGGCAGTGGTGTGGGAAAAGGGTATGGGCATCTGACTGACTGACTGACTATGTGTGTTTGTGCACACACGCATATGCTAGAGGACATATACATTGGTCAAGGAAGGAGAGAGGGAGGGAGAAAGACAGAGAGACAGAAAGGTAAGAAAGCACCCTCTGTGGCAATTCCTTCTCCATCTCTCACTCCTTTGGGGATTTTAGACATACTTACACACACACCTTGTGTGTTTTTCAAGCCACCAGGGTGGAGATTTGAACTTCAGCCAGTCATGTGGGATCTGATTTCTGATGTATTGTGCTTAACCACTGCACTTTAGGGCCAGCCCTGTATGAACATTTAATATACAACAAAAACACATTTTAGTTCAATGAGAAGAGTATGCATTAATAAATCTTGCTGGAAAAGATTGGTATCCATCTGGAAGAAAAACAGTTGAATATTGGAATGATATACCACACACACCTGTACACAGTTGCAAAAGATTGGAATGTTGTAAAATAATAGTCTTAGAAAGTCAAAGACTATTTAGAAACTGTGATTAGAGAAATATTTTATATAAAAAAGGATGTTTATATGATAATGATTTTAGTATACACAAGATCAACTAGTAATGAGTTTTTTAAAAGATTTATTTACTTAATTCCATTTGTTATTATTATTTTTCTTAATTTGACCAGATTGAGAGAGAGAAAGAGAGAGAGAGAAAGTGAGAAAGCAAGCCACCAGTGCTGGAACTTGAACCATGGTCAGCCATGTGGAAGTCCTGCACCTTAACCGCCATGCCACCCGCTGGTCCCCAAATAATGAATTTTTAAAAAGTCTTTCTGTAATTGACAGAGAAGCATTAATAGGTAATATACAATGAACTCTCAGAAACCGGTAAGGAAGAGACATGCAATGCACAGAATCTTAGCTGGCAGTTTATGAGTGCTATGACATGCGTACAGTGGTGCTCAAGCTCACTAGTTCACTGGTAGTGAGGGAAATGCAGGTTCCAGTGGTGTGGTTTGCTGATGGGGTCACAAGTGCAAGAGGACCGGGAAGCTTGTATCTGAGGCAGAAGTAAAGCTGCTGGAACCATCGAACTGTTTCCTGTTTTATGATCTTTATTTTCCAACATAAAAATGCTGACTTTTACACTTTTTATGACTTTAAATGCTTTTTTTTTTCTTTTGAGAGGTTTTTGTTATAGGGTGTGTGCGCTCGCCAGAGACAGAGACAGAGAGACAGAAAGCGAGAAATCACCCCCTGGAGGGGGATGGCCATGCCACAATCCCTTCTCCTCCATTGTCCTCTCGGGATCTTGGGCACACACTCACACGCACCCAGTGTGAGTTTTTTTTTTAAACCACCGGGTCCGAGACTCAAACCGCAGTCGACTACATGGGAGTTCAGCAACACAGCCATTATGTTAACTGCTGGTCCCAACTTTAAATGCTTTTTAATCTTTGTTGTGTGTGTGTGCTTTGCTGTTTTCTTGTGTTGCCATTTTTTTTCCTGCATTAACTCCAGCAATATAAGATTATTTTCTATGTAACTTAGTTTTCTTTTTGGACACTATCTGAAAGTGGCCCGTTTTAAAAATCTTTAGTCATAGCAATTATTAAAAAAATTTTTTTTCTTTATTATGGCGTGTGTATGTGAATAAGAGAGAGTGAGAGGAGCACCCTCCACAGGGTCTGGTCATTGCTACTGTCCCCTTCCTCTAGTCCTTCAGCCTGTTGGAGCTCAGGTGTTTGCATGTCTGCTTAGCATGTTTCAGGCTAACCAGCCTGGGGATTCAAATTGTGGTTGTCACGTATGTAGACTCCAGCTTCTCTTGAGTAACACATTACTGCTTGCCATGGAGCAGGCCCCAACTAGTCATCGAATTTTTTTTTGTTTGATTTTGAATTTTCCCAGAGCATGTGTGTGCTTGCTGGTGAGAGACTGAGAGAAGAAAAATGAGGAAGCACCCGCCATGGGAAATGGACATGCTTCCGTCCTCTCTCCTCCATCTTTCCTCTTTTCCGAGTTCTGGGCACACATTCACATGAACCCAGTGTGTTTTCAAGCCATCTAGTCTGAGACTTGAACTGCACCAGCTGGCCTATCGTCCTACCATTTTAATTGGACTATAGTTTTTTAAAAAACTGCCTAAGACCGCCTGTGCATGCCATAGAGAGACAAAGAGAGAAAGGGAGAAAGTACCCTTCGTGGGGTGTGGTCATGCCACAGTTCCTTCTCTACCATGCTGGGATTTTGGATGCACAAACACATGCCCTCATGTTTTCAAGTCTGTGGGGCTGGGATTCAAACCACACAGTTGAGCATGTGGGATCTGGCTTCCTTAATTGTCAGGCCATGAGGCCAGGCCGGACTAGCTAGTCTTAATTGGTCTTTTGTATATAATTTTTTGTAACATTGGTTTTGAAAACAAATCTTCTTGCCTTTAATATCTGGATTAAAAGAAATGAAATCTAAATCAACATTTCTCATGCATAAAAGTTACGAATATGTAGTTTGGTTAAATAATGTAGTTTCCAGTGACAGGTACGTATAAACTCTTTTCTACTTTTGCCAGCTCTTCGAGAGAAAATACATTTCATAAAACTTCATTATAAGTTGCACTTGAACCATCTATGTTTGAGTACCATTCACAGTAGGCAGATTTGTAAGCTTATTTTTACAGTGTTGTTGAATGATACAGGACAGGATTCAAAAATCAAAATCAGCTCTAACAGCTTTAGAAGTGTAATAGCATTATAGTATATCGTAACATAGAGCAGAGTGTACCGTGTCGGGGCCCCATGCTGTAACATAGGAGAGCAGAGTGTACCGTGTCGGGGCCCCATGCTGAGGCCGTAGAACTATTCAGAGAAGGTAATGCAATCTAACCAAATATTTCTGGAAATGCCACTCTGTTTCTAATTTTTTTCCCTAACAGCTTTATTGCAACATAATTCACATAATAAAATTCACTCTTAAATTGCATAATTCATTGGTTTGCAGTATTATTCAGAGTTGTGCAACCATCACCACTATCTAATTTTAGAACATTCATCACTCTGAAAACAAATATAAAGGATATTTTATATTTATATAACACCTTGCTAGTGCCATTAGATTATTCCCCATAGCTTAGTAAACAAGTTTTATTTTGCT